ACATTGTGCAGAACCATCTGTAAACCAGGCATGTTTTTCTTCCTCAGTCAATTGATCATAAGGAACTCCTCATGAGGCTATAGGTGAAAACTGGGACAGGGAGGTTAATGTGACTTGAGACCATGGGCATTTGAACCACTTACTCAAGCAACTTATTCCAGGTTCTGCTCAAGCCCAGTCTTTTATATACCACTTCCATTTATTGATGGAATGCTGCTGTGCACATCCAACTTTATGACTCTCTGGGTCAGGAAACACCCAGTTCATGAAGGGCAGCTCAGGCTGCATGGTGACTTGGCCCACGGTTAGGTGTTCAGTCTCTACTAAGGCCTGGTAACAAGCCAAAAGCTGTTTCTCAAAAGGAGAGTAGTTATCTGCAGAGGATCGGAGGGCTTTGCTCCAAAATCCTAAGGGCCTAAACAGTGCTAAGCCAAGTATTTGAGACCAAAAACCTTGGCAAATTGTTTTCTTGCAAGTTGAGGATTCAAAATGCTCTTCAGGAGGCCTATTTTCAAAGTCACCCAAACTCCTGTGAAGACCTTAGCCCAGAGGAGCAGCCACCTGCTAGTTTTGAGTGGGGCCCAGAACAAGAGGCATATTTCAACATGGAGGTGATTACATAATATCAGATCTCCTCATGGGGGATGACTACATTGTAAGTGCTAAACCACTGAGAATCATGGCCCAGCCAAGTTGACATGCAACCTTAACTATCCCAGTGAGTGTTAAAGGAGGAGGAGCTGCACAAGCTTTCTCTGAAGGGGCTCAGAGGTGTAAATGGTTGTGTTTGTTTTGGTTGAATGAGAACATTTGATTTTCTTATAAATAAGTCTTTCCACCTCAGAAAATTTTTTAAATATGGAATTGAAATATACTGCTTTCTCTGTGCCAGCTCACAAATGAATACAGTAGAAACAGATTCACTCTTTCCAAAGGTAAACTGGCTTGGGCTTTTGCTGTTAGCTTTTTTAAAATTTTTAAAATTATATTTATTTACTTTTCTTGGACTAGGCAATACAGTCATATAGTTAAAATATCAAAAGATACATAATATAAATCTCCCTCACTCCCGTGCCACCTGCCATCTGGTGCCTTTGCTTGGAGGCAACCAAGGTTGTTCCAGTTTGTTGTGTATCTTTCCAAAGATGTTTTATGCAAATATAGGCATGTCTATGCATATATATATGTATATGTGTGTGTGTGTATATATATATATATATATATATTTATATTTATATTTATTTATTGTGATTTGGGTGAAAATTTACAGAGCAAATTCACTTTCTACGCAGCAGTTCACATACATTTTGTCTCATGACATTGACCACAATTTATCACAATATATTTCTTTTTCATTGTTATTTTTTTAACCCTTGAGTTGTAGACTCAGTCTAAACTCTCTTGGTCTCTCTGGCCCTCTGAGCCCCTTGGAAACAGCAGAGGCCTGCAGGTCTCCTAGAACTACTGGCTTTTATTCAGAGATAGGCGTTCCCTGGCATGCGTTCATGTAGAACAATTCTTTAATTCTTTTCAAAGTGTTTCCATGTTTGATAACTCATCAAACCCTCACAATAGCTCATGAAGTACAAGAATTATTCACTTCGTTTTATATGTAGGGAAACCAAGACCCAGAAAGGTCGAGCAACTTGCTGAAGAGTACACAACTAATTAATGTTGTGTGGTGGAGTTCCCAGAGCCGTGTGTGGCTTGATCCAGTTTGAACTTTGGAAACAATAAGAAAATTGTTTACTCCAAAGGCACTGTTTAAAAATATTCTAGCAGCACTACTGTAGGATAGGAGCTCCGGTAGTGTAATGCTTAAGGCACTTGACTGCTAACCAGAAGGCTGGTGGTTCAAACCCACCAGCCACTCCTCAGAAGGAAGGTTGGGCAATCTACTTCCATAGTGATACCGCCTTGGAAACCCAAGGAGGGGTTGCTATGAATCGGGTCCGACTCCATGGCAAATAACAACAACAACTGTAGGATAGTGGGTCTGCCACTTACAACTGTGTGCTCTTGGGTCACTTACATCATAGTTTGTAGCCTCAGTTTCCTAATTTGTAAAGTAGGCATGATAATATCAACCCAGCAGGGTAGATAAAAACCAAAACCAAATTCACTGCTATCAAGTTGATTCTGACTCCTAGTGACTCCCTTTGGGTTTCCGAGGAGGTAAATCTTTATGGAAGTAGATTGCCCAGTCTTCCTTCCATGAAGTGGCTGGTGGGTTTGAACTACCAACTTTCTGGTTAGCAGTCAAATGCTTTAGGCACTATGCCACCAGAGCTTCTTAGCAGGGTGGATATTGACTTTTAAATGAAAGTGATTTGTAAAAATGGGGCAAATTCCAATGCTTTCATTACCATTATTGTTATGGTTATTATGACTGGTCCTTTTTAGTACATGGGAGGGGGCAGCTATTTCCTGAAGGGAAGGTAGGTTCACACTGGGCACAGGTTTACCCTGCCCATAAGCCAAATTATCCAAAAAGGCCATCTTTGGCCCAGTGAATTGTAAATCAGGGCAACTCCAACCTGGCCCATTTTTCAGGTCAGCTCTTAGGCCTCTTGGGCAGTTAGAGTAACTCCAGATTCTGAGCACAACTTTCTCAGTGGGTGTCTTAAACCTGCTTTGATTTGTAATTCCTCCCTTCACAATGCCCCCAGATCAATTTCATTTTTAAAAGTTTATTTTTCTAATTATAAAAGTAAAATGTGCTCACTAGAGAAAATTTGTAAAATGTTGAAAAGTGGATGAAAAATAAACCATCCTTATGTGTTCCTCCTCCACAAAAGCCCACCTTAGTCAATATTTTGGTGTATTTCCTTTCAGACTTTTTTCCTTTATGCACTTCCACTGAGTAGAGCAACTCTTGCTCTGTATTGCTTTTTCTGTGGATGCTGTGTCCATGATTAAGGTATTTATATTTTAATTTTTTAAAATTCAAAATTAGTCCTAGATTTATGGACTTT